CCCCAAATTTTAGGGGAAACCCGGCTTGGGGTTTAGGGTGCCCCAAGTTTTCGGGGAAGGCGGGCACGTAGGGTTTAGCATGTAACATTATTCTTTTAGTTCCCCTCATCAGGGGAAGCTGGGCTTAGGGTTTAGTTTAGTGTTAGGTTAGGTTGTTTCCCTCCTCCCACCCCCAAGCATGATGACGTCCATGGTCTAAGCCGGTCCGAGCAGAGATCATCCATGGCCCTACGTTGATAAGGAGAAATTGACGCTGCACCCCCTCCAGCATGTATTGCCCATCTTCCTGAAGTGGGCCAGCACCTAGGCGGGAAGCCCGCTCGTACTTGGGGGACAAGCATCACTGGCGGTCTCTGTGTGGTCTCCTGGTGGTCTCGTTGCGTTCTCGCGGCTGTCCTGGGTTCTGCTGGAGGTCTTCTGGTAATCTCTTGGTGGTCTCCCGGTAGTTTCCCTGTGGTCTCCTGCCGGTCTCCTGGTGCGCTGTTGCCGTTCCGAGTCTCTTCCTGAACGATTTGCTTGACTCCAATTCAATTCTGTGGTTGCCACAAGTCCCTGCAAACACTAACTCCCCCTGACAGCCTTCTGAAACAACCCCAAAATTTTGACAGAGTATGCAGCCCTGTGTATTGCGATTTGTTGCGATGTCAGCCTCTAAACTCTAAACAGCAATACGGCAATTCACGCACGGACCGCCATGTCGTCGTTGCCATCTACAGCCAGCGGCAGGCATCTGGGGGTCTTCAAGGTCTTGTGCAGTTTCAGACTGCCGAAGCCCGAACCAAGCGGGGCAAGGTCTGTCTTCCTTGGTCCGTTTTCCAGACCCCGATGGCCCAGATGCCAATCACTAAACTCCCACTCTAGTGCTGCTTCGTCCAGCTCAGGGTCTCTAGGTCGTTTGTGTTGAACGTCCGCAAAGAAGCTTGCTCGGAAGACCTCTGTCATGTGCTTTATGGGAAGTAATGCAGAGGCACAACCGATGCAAGCAACACCGTAGAAGTAAACGAAGTTCCACCAGCATTCCCTCCATGCCAATCTAAGATCTGAGATTTGTGAATGCGAAACACTAAACCCTCAAACCCCAAGCCGCGACCATCCTGTGCATCCGCCTGCTGTAGACCCTGTTTTCTTAATTCTGGGGCTTGGAACATTTGACACCTCTGAAAAAAGCAGAACCTATACTTAGGCCTTCCCGGCGTTTAACGGGGGCCCGAATAGGTACTTTAAGGCTTCATACTGCTTATACCATATGAGTACATGGAGCCTTACACCCGAAACCCTGTAGAACTCTTGAAGGAACCCTTAAAGGTACCCGTAAAGGAATCCGCAAAGCTAGTCTTTTTGCTATATGTAGTTACATGGGGCATTATTAGGGACTGGTGGGAGCTTGGCAGTTGCTCGGCCACTGCGTGCCTGCGCACCGGCACCTGCAGAGCCGTTGGCAGGCCTGTCAACCAAGGGTTCTTGTCAGGGGTTCTATTACGGGGTTCCCGTGAAGCGTTCCTTCAAGGGTGCACAGGACCCAATCTTCAGGTACTTCGGATAGTAGTTGTGCAACTAAGTAACAAATAGTTGCTTTGGAGGGTTCCATAAGGGGCGGTGTGATTTTAACGAGGCTGGATTCCAGACGCGTGCTATAGGAAATAGTCATGACAGTGAATATGTCGGTTCCGAAAGCATAAGTCGGGAATTTTGGGGTCACGGCTTAAGGTGTTGGGTTCAGCGGCCGCTATTGAGATTAGCAGTCGCTTGTCTCGCCATGTAAAGCTCCCACGCAGGCAAAGTTCAACGTCTAAACCGCGTGAAATAATCTAGATTGGAGAAGGTTTTCAGGATTTTATTTTCCCTGTATTGCATATCGCCTTTGTAAACTCTAAATCCTCAACCCCAAATGTCCTTAGGTAGTACCTTGCCTGATTTGTCAAGTTCCTCACAGTCTAAGGCGAAAGGTATGTTTTAATTACGCAGGCATAGTCCGGAGATACACTTATACGACTACAAGATGGTTGAGGGCTCAGCCATGTGCGGTCCCCATAAGCAGCGTTCAAACCGTAGTGGGACGTAGAGGTTAGCAGTTTAGGGTTCTTAGTTTGTTACAGGGAGGCCGCAAGTCTGCGTCGCATTCTGGATAATCCCTACAACAGTCCTGTAATCACCCAGTTTACTATAACCCGATAAACGAAAACCCAAATCCTGAGCCCTGAAGCCTGGCTACTTACTTGGTCGAAAGAGCGTTTCAGTAGGCCCAGTAGGCGTTTTTCGTGGGGAGATCCTCATTTTCAGGTCCTGGAAACCGTCGTAGGCGTGCGAACTCCATCACCCGATCATGGGCTTACAGACATGAATACTTGCAATAGGGCTTTGGTAAAGGACAGGCCATGGGATATGCGGTCAGGGATGCATGCTGAGTGAATCCTCCCTCTGGGTGTTCCATTTTGGAATCCTTTGCAATTGAATCCTTTGCAATTTGAAAGCCATGGTACCATGCAGCCAAGGGGCGATAACAGACTATGGTTTGCATTTTGGGTCTGCGGGTGCTATAGGTAACAGTCCCTGATACAGGAAGTACTCGGGCCCTGGTATAAACCCTGCAGCCTACACCCTAAAATCGTCATGGGTCTACTGCAAAAGCTGAGGCGTTGACGCCGTTATGCTGGTGCAGTGGTGTGGCCTGAACCCGATGGCCAGGATCCGCTCCAAGCCCAAACTGCCAAATCATCCGAGGAATTCCGAGGAGTAATTCCGAGGAGTTGTCTAGAGTTTAGGGTTTATAGGGGATCCAAATCATCCGAGGAGTTGTTTAGGGCTGTAGAAGCCCGAAATCCGGAAACTCTACGCAGGGCTTTTACGAATCCTATCTCTGAACCCCAAGCCCTAAACCCTACACCCCGATAAATCATAAACCGTATATAATGTACGGGCCTTTATAATCACCTATAATATTTTGGGGAGCAAGCAGAGCTAGGGCGGTAGGGTTTGACGTTATAGGGTGCAGTGCAGGGTTTAGGCTGTAAGGTGTAGGCTCTGGGGTCAAAGATTTAGGGTTTAGGGTTTGAGGTTTAGGGTTTAGGGTTTAGGGTTTGAGGTTATAGGGTGCAGTGCAGGGTTTAGGCTTTAAGGTGTAGGGCTCAGGCTCGGGGGTAAAAGATTCAGGGTTTATCAGCTTTAGGGCTTAGTTTTTCGGGTTTCGCTCCACTACGGAAAAAAGCGCCGGCAGCCCATGCAAGTGATCCCTCCTATGCAGCGAAATTACCGCATGCTGAACTGCTTCGATACTTGCATTCAAGCCCGGTTTGACATGTAGTGTGACGAGGGTGCTGCTTTCTGTCGTATTTGTTGCCAGGTGGACCCTACAATTGCACCCATCAGCCATAAAAAGCACCTTTGTGGTCTGGACCCTGGCGACCCTGGCTTAGAGTAGGCATCCGCACGAAAGCCCAGAATTCGTCACTTGCAGCACTTCCTGCGGAAGCCTGTGGCAGCGCCCCCCAAGACGACTCGAAGCTTGGAAGCAAGTCTTCTTGCAGTCCGCAGCTCCCGGGGCTCGGACGCCTTGCCCGGGTCGTGCGTCTATACGTAGTCTGTGAAAGCCTGCCGTTGTGAGAGTGGCCACATGGCGGTGTGCTGCTTCTTGTGCATCGGCGTCTTCTCTTACCTCCTGTCAGCTGAACGCCCGGGGGCTCAGCATTGCGCCTTCTTCTGTGCATCCGCCCTGCCTGCTGCGCCCCTCCTGAAGGCGTTGCCGACAAGCGACTGCTGCACGAGGCCGACAGCTTTCTGACTCGACGCGTGGAGCCAAGTTCCAAGGTCAAGGCGGTCTGCGTTCAAGCTTTCAGGCACCCGTTTCCCCCAAATCCTGCATCGCAAGTCCTCCCCATGGCCTGCCGGCCCCAGGTCACGGGGCCAGGGAGCCTGAGCAGCGGGAGAAGCAAACCAAAGCACCGCTTGCTGGTCTCGGAGTGCAGGACTCCTCGAGCGAATCAGTGACCGCTTCATGATACTGTCTGTTACCGTGCTGTGCAAGATGACTTTCCTTTGTGGCCTCACCTACAACACTCCGCTGTGCAGGAGACATCAAAGGGCACGCGAACGGAAGCCAAGGCGCCAGCCCAGTCCTTGTGCATATGCTGAGGGGGGTTTCTCCTAAATCCGGTGCACGTGGTGTCACAGGGTGCACGCCCCCCGGTAGATTATGTCGAAGACGAGATGTGAGAGAACTAACAACTAAAGGTGGATCCCCCGAAGCAAAGATGCCCGAAGATCCGAGGCCTTGAAACCCCGAAACTCCAAGTTTGGGTTCGGGGCGCCGAAGGATGTTTAAGGCTTACTATGGTTTATAGGATTTACGTAGGGTGCTCAAGGTTCATTCTGTTTTTGCTCTACAGGTATACATAGTCTTATTGTGGTGTTATAGGCTGCTACACGGTTTAGAGCGCCGAAACATCCAGTTCAGGTCGGCCTTCCGAAGTGTTCGGACGGTGTCCTCCAGCTCGACGGGGTCTACGAGGCCCATGCGGTGTGCCTTTTTGCGCTTTGAGTCGGGGTTTAGGGACGTTTCGGGTTTATTTTGGTTTTTTTATGGGATTTCGGGTTTAGGGACGGGGCCTTACAGGGTATAAGGGGATTTCGGGCTTGAGCTGTGGCCGCGCTGCTTTCGCGGCCTGGTCAGACAACATCTCTCTTGAAAACCCATTGCCGCAAGAGATTTCATTGGAAACAAAGGAGGCAAGGGGACTCTGCCAGGAAGGCCCGGTCTGAGAAGATCTGGTTTAAATTGGTGTGGCACTGCCTGGGCGCGGAGCGCTGTAGTTCGACCATGTTCGACCTCCACCCCAAAAATCACAACCCCACCTCCTTAACGTGGGACTCCGTCATGCAGGTGAAGCAGCAGGAGGAGGTCCTCGTGGAGGGGCCTTCGTGCCGAGTGACGGGAAGTGGGAGCCTGAGACCTGGGAGGAGAGGCCCAGGAGTCGAAGCTGTGGCCGCCCTGCTGTTCTCGAGGTGCCGAGCTGCTGCTTTGGGCGCCCATCCGCTTCCGGGGCAACCTGGTCTTCGCAGGGCAGGTGAGCGTAAAGGCTGCCGGCGACGACGGCACGATAAGTGCCTCGTGCATCGCCGTCAACGGCAACTTTACATTGCGCCCAGAAGCTCGCCTCAGCATTCAAGGCTGCCAGAACGAGGCTGACGAGGAGGATGCAAACGAAGGAGGCTGCCTGCGCGTGCGCGGCGATGCCGAACTTCTGGGCGGCCGGTTGCTTCTGCGTGAATGCGCTGCAAGAAAAAGGGGTGGCGGCATCGACGTCGGAGGCCGGATCGGCATTTGCTGGAAAAACGCCATCTTCGAACGCTTGCGCGTGAAGAGCTCTGAGACACACTCATGCTGCTAATGCCAAGCTGACCGTTTCTGTGCAGCTGTCACTGTTGCAGGCATGCTGCAATTTCGGAATGCGACGATCGATGCAGAAAGATGTGATGCAGATCATGGAGGTAGGGAGTGACAGCCCAAATAATTCAAAATCTCCATTCGCACAGGAATCGCCTTAGAGTTGGCAGTGGGGTTTGCCCACACAGCTCCGCAAGTTCGTTCGGTCTCACACTCCTGTGTAACGGGAGGAGTGTAGAGGGGACCAGGCCCATGGCCCGGCCCGGGAAGTCCCGCTTTCGGTTTCAGGGTTCAGGTTTCTGGTTTAGGGATTAGGCAGCTGCTTCGGATTCGGGCACAGGTATAAGCAGCGGTTGAGCGACGCTGCCGCACGCGCGCAGGCGCCATCCGTGCCGAGAACATGATCGTCTCCGGTGGCAATGTCACCATCACGAAGTCTGAGGCATCTTGGAATGGAGGCAGGGGGGAGTGGCTCGCTTTGTTGGTCCTGACGAGGGATCCCCCCCCAAGAAGTGGCACGCAGAGCGTCATGGGCTCTGCCTGCAGTTTAGGGGCGGAGGGTTCTTCGAGTTCAAGGCTTGAGAGGTTTGTAAGCAGATGCTGCCCCTGCAGTAACGCAGCAAGTCATGCTAATTTGTTGTAATTCGTTAAACCAATACTGTTTGCTTGGGCTACCCGCCAGTGCATTTTTTTCGCCCGAGCCGACTTAGCTCCAGCAGTGTACTTGATAAAGGTTAAAATGGCAGAAGGCCTTAGCAAAATTGTTGGTGTCGAGGGCGGATTCTGGGCTGAGTGCAAA